AAAGAGTGCAAAAGAATGAAAGAGTGCAAAAGAATGAAAGAGTGCAAAAGAATGATAATTCTTTGATAATGATAATGATGAAATAAAAAGAGGGATGACTAATAGAATGTTCCTGTTTGAAGCAAATCATAGGCTATGTGACATCTCTTACATACAATCAAGCCTTATTTCAGCTCATCAAGAAGTTACTACATGTTGAATAATAATGGCCTTACCTGGTTTTGCAGATATCTTGTTTGTAATGAATACATGAATGTAGCCTAGACAGAGCAACAAAAAAACAAGAGTTATCTCTGATTTGTATATATGTGGACTCAACATACACCAATATAGCATTTTTATCAGAACTGCTTATCACTCAGAGAACCCCACACACTAAAACACTGTGAGTTAAAAATTTATAAGTGGGGTGTTCTGACATCAGTGCTGGTGTTATTTTTTGTTGTTATTACTGTTACTGTTCAAACCAACACTTTGGTTGATGTATGACCAGTGGTACTCTTAGCCCTCCCCTTAGCCTCTGACAATCGATCTCTTGTTAAGAATCATGGTAAGATTTTTGACAGCTTCTTTAAAGTTTCTAAAAAGATTAGTTCAGTTGTCAAAACTACTGGTTAAAATGATTTTTGTGTAACAAGTAAATCCCTCACAGAAAACACTGAGAGGAGTTTGATATACTCACAGGAAGTGCTGGCATAAAGATCTTCACATACATCTGAGACAACCTAGAGAGAGCTTTTCAATCAATATCAACAAGAAATATTCTCTGAAATAAACTCTTTTTAACAATAAATAAATAAAATAATAAATCAACAAACTAAAGCAGGAGAAGAGAAGTGAATTTTGGCACAGCTGACCTGGCCACCTCTGGATCCTGTTTGACAGCCAACAGAATGGACTCAGTGTTAATGAGGATCGCCCAGCAGGGGAAACACGCCAGAATCAAAATGAGGATGGCCCGCTGCAGAATGACCCCAGCTCTCAGGAAGTTACGGCCCCCAAAGGTCTGACACCAGAGAGAATTGTCTTATTCTTTTTATTATTACTACACCTTTGTCAGCACTTACGGCTCATACCTGAGAAATCAGAGTATCACAAGCTGCAGACAAACCAGATCCAACAGATATGCCTGTCACATTGATAACCTGTGGATATAACACAAGCATTAGTGGGTAATGTTCTGTGGCTCTGTTAGTTTAACTTTCATTTTAAGAACATCACTATATTGTACTTACTGCTATGGCCAAAGCCACTCCGGCCAGCTCTGTCTTCCCCAGATGGCCACAGAATATGCTACTAACAAAACTCACTGAAAAAACCATGAGCTGGGAAATAATCTGATGAGAGAAAAAAAAATAATGAACAAAAAAGTAGCTGGGACAACAAAAAATATATTGATTAGTTTATTAATAACTGTTAGTGATGTGGGCTTCTTGTTCTACTTTAACATGAGTGGTACTAGCTTCCAGTGGTGGAAGCGCATTCACCAAAGTACTGAAAATGTGTTGCTTTTACTTTAAATTATGGATGGAGATACTAATCAGTAGATTCATCTGTAATCAAAATAATTACTGTCCAATCCAAAATAGCTAAAAAGCTCCACAACAGTGAGTAATAGTAATACTTTTAATACATTTTTTTTATATTTTCACTTTCACTTCAAGTAACATTTTGAATGTTTTATCTCCTTCTCACAGAGTGTTTTTACAGTTTGGTTTTGTAGTACTTTTCCTTTAGTAAAGGATCTGAATACTTCTTCCACCACTGCTAGTTTTATCAACAGCAGTCCATATCCACACAGAAAACAAATGTTAATTGAACTTGGTTTTATTTAGATTTTTGATCAGTGACAGTTAATTTAAACACATTCTACTTACCACTGGTCCGGCCAGTTTAGACAACTCTTTTATTTCTGCCTTAAAACCAACAGGGACCAACATGCGGATCCGTTTTATTACAAAACATTCACTCCATGTAGAAACAGGTGAACTCTGTGTGCTGCTCTCCATGATTCAGCCGCTACAACTGTTGCTATGTTCAAAGTTGCTGTAAGTTGCTGTGTGTTGCTGTCAGGGCCACAGTCCCGAACTCCGTCAGTGTGTGTCTGATGAAAGCTGTTGTAAATGTGAATGATCAGCATATGACCCACGTGAAGTGTCAGTTACTTCCTGTGAGTCAGCTGCTGGGTAAAAAAGTTCAGGAGCTGGTGTGAGCCTGTGATGTTGTCTGGTGCTGCATTTGCCAACAGATGGAGCTATTTCCCAATAACACACGCACACTGATCACAGTAGCTCTTTAAAAAATGTCAAGTGTCACAGTGGATTTGAAGGTCTTTATGATGAACGCATTACAAATGAATGAACATGAATTATTAAACACTTAGGACTGAAGAGGTGGTTTGAGCTCTGCTTGAACATGCAATGTATCCTTAAATGTCCTTCATTTCTCTATAAAATTACTGTTAATTATTCATTAGACATGCCAAAGCCTAAACAATCTTTGTTCAGTTCAATTGTTTAAGGGAAAAAAATAATGAAATCACCAGACACCCGTAATTAATCATTCTTTATGCCCTTTGTTAATGATTTACAAGGTTAATAATGAGTCATTGGTGTTATTAGACCCAATATAAACAAGGCCCATCAAATTACCCCTTAAAAATTACTTTAAATCGTAACAATGTAAAATGTCTTTTTCTTTCTTCTTGCTTTAAGCATGAATGGTATACCCTTAAATTGAGAAATAAACAATATTGACTCCGTGATTTGTTTTATTTCGTTATTTAAGTAGTCAAAATATTAAAGGTTTCCTTCCCAGTCTCAAAAAGTATAATCCAATGGATATAATACTCCTGTGCCATTAAAACACCATTATCTAATTTAAGGAAGGTTAAGGAGAGATGTAAATGTAGAACAAATTAATCATTTTTAAATTTTTAAAGGTTATTTGTAATGATAATGGTTTTTAGAGCTCTCCTAATAGGACAAGTTCAATTCAGAATCTGTAACCACCAACCTATTGTTTATTGTTAATGTAAATTAAGAAAAAAAGGCAATTGCTTTCACACAGGTGTAACACCAATGACTAACAATGTAACTGTACCATGAAGTCACGTTCTGGTTAGACTCTAGATGTCATTTATTCTGGCCACCAGGGCAGGACAACAATCACAAAGATCTCTTTCGTAATGGGCTCTAAGAGGAAAAAATGCTCAATTTGTTTGTCACATTGAACAGTCTCAGCATCGGTTGATGTTGTCCTGAAGGAAAAAAACATTGGATCAGGGCACGCACACAATGTCTGTGCTTTGTTTTGACATGCAAGAGAAAAACAGACTTTGAATTAAGCTAAGAGTAAATGTCAATCTGAGGCTCAATTGACGAGGCTGTTTCATCAAAACAGTCTATTGAGAACTTCAGAGAGAGGCACACAATAGTAGGGTTGCCTTGCTTTAACCTCTTATTACACTTAAAAATGTCCTTTTTGTGAGTGAAGTGGTGCAAAGAACACGTGAACTGTGGTCATACAGTGCGATGAATCATCCTTCACTCTGTCTTTGAGCACATGTGTGGTACACGCACAACAAGTGTCTAAAAGGAGCATGTTCCCTAAGGTGACGGGTTCTGGGTGCAGGAGGTAGAATCCTATAGAAGTAAAGAAGTAAACCAGTAAACATGAATCAACTCCAGACTGAGAGTGTGTTTGTTGAGATATTTCAGTCTGGATCAAAGCTGTAGACCGACTGACAGACTGACTTTGAGCAACAGTGCAACAATCAGAATATTATTTCTGTTTCCTGTGAAAATCATTTTATATATACAGTCTGTATAACCCAGTCAACATGAACAACTCTCTTCCCCTTCCTGAAAGCAGGATAAACTAAGGTTTGATCTGTGATATCATCAAAATCACTTAAACTAAGACTCATTGTTTGAATATACAAAAGGTCCAGTGTGTAACATTTAGGAAGTCTGTTGGCAGAAAATGAAATATAATACTCATAGGTATGTTTTCATTAGTTTTATGCTCACCTGGAAATCAGAACAATAAATTTTTTTCGATTATAGATGAGCTGTTTTTATCCTACAGAGGTCTCTCTAACGGGAAGTATCATGTTTCTACAGTAGCAGAAAGGACAAACCAGCTCTAGACA